CCTTGTACAGGTTGTGCTAGTTTCCCTTGTATTGTGTACTGTCTCACCCTTCACCCAAGATACCACTTATCTATTGCCTATTTAGTATTTCTCCCCCACCCTTCCCATCCCTGGTAACCAACAAAGATTGTTGCATTTTGTGTGTGAACTTTTTCATGGGTTTTCTCATACAATATTTGTCCTTTTGTGATTGACTTATTTCACTCAGCATAATGTCCTCCAGTTTCATCCATGTTATGAGATGCTTCGCAGATTCATTGTTGTTCTTTCTTGTTGCATAGTACTCCATTGTGTGTTTGTACCCTAGTTTGTTTATCCATTCATCTGTTGATGGGCATGTAGGTTGTTTCCATCTTTTTGCTATTGTGAGCAATGCTGCAGTGAACATGGGTGTGTATATGTCTATTCATGTGACGGCTCTTATTTCTCTAGGATATATTCCTAGGAGTGGGATTGCATTTTGTAGTGCTTTTTTTTGTGGGGCTCATGTTTTCTTTGTTTCTCTTACTTTCCTGTGCTGAGTTCCTTTTGTTTGTGGATTTTCTTTTCATTTCTTTTGTTTTTGTAGGTTTTGTTTTTACTAAAACTTTATATTTTTCTTCTTTATTTTGATGCGTAGATTTGTTAACTTTCTTTTGGTTACCTTGAAATTTACCCTTGTCTTCCTAGATTTGAAGCAGTCTATTATTACTTGGTATCGCCTTGCCTTCCTCTCCATTAGAAGGTTCTATACCTACACTGTTTATTCCCTCTTCTATTGTTCTGATGCTGTTGTCATTTACAGATTAACCTCTCTGGTTCCCTGTTGTAATTCTTTTGGTTTTGCATAGTCCTTAAGAGTTCATTTCCTAGGTTAGTATCTGGCTAGTACAATCCTGTGTCCTGTATTCAGCCTGTGGTCTGATGTTGTTTGTTCTCAGATTAAAGGACCCCCTTTAATAAGTCTTGTAAGTTTGGTTTGGTTTTTACATAGTCCCTTAATTTCTGTTTATCCAGAAATGTCCTAATTTCACCATCATATTTGAATGAGAGTTTTGCAGGATATATTATTCTTGGTTGGCAATTTTTTTCTTTCAAGGTTTTATATATGTCATGCCATTGCCTTCTTGCCTGCGTGCTTTCTGCCGAATAATCCGAGCTTAGTTAATCTTATTGTTTCTTCTGTGTATGTGACTTTTTGTTTTTCTCAAGCTGCTCTCAGGATTCTTTGTCTTTGGTTTTAGCAAGTGTGATTATGATATGCCTTGGTGATTTTCTTTTGGGGTCTATCCTATATGGGGTTCGTTGAGCTTCTTGGATGGTAAGCTTTTCATCTTTCATGATATTGGGAAAGTTTTCTGTCAGCAATTCTTCAGTGATCCTTTCTGTTTTCTGTTTTCTCCCCCTGTTCTGGAACTCCGATCACTTGCAGATTTTTGCTGTTGATTGTATCCCACATAATTCTCAAGGTCTCTTCATTTTTCTTCATTCTTTTTTTCTGATTTTTCCTCAAACAGTGTTGTAGCCAAGTGTTTGTCTTCAGTTTTGCTTATTCTATCTTCGATTGTTTCAGACCTGCTTCTATGACACTGTCCATTTCTGAAATCTTGTTGTTTATCTTTCGGATTTCTAATTGTTGTTTTTGTATGATTTCTAGTTGTGAATTTATTTTAGCATTTTGTTCCTGTATTATTTTCTTGAATTTTTCCATTTTTTGTCTGTATTTTCCATGAATTTGTCTGCGTTTTCCATGAATTTGTCCATTTGTTCCTCATTTTTGTCTGCTTTTTGCTTTGATTTTTGGATAATTCTGAACATTAGAGATTTGAATTCCCTATCAGTTAGGTCTAGTGCCTTTTCTTCTACTGGAAGGTCACCTGGTGTTTTATTTTGTATGCCTACTTAACCATCTTGTCCTGTTTTTGTAAATGTTTTGATATTGTCTGCTATCTTCAGGGCATTCAGTGGTTATTTTCGTCATTTATTGATTGTAGATTTGTTTGTTTCATCCTGCTTTTTTGTTTGATTATGTCTGAGCAGGCAGGCTGTGTGTTGTTTGTTGTTTGCTCATCTGTGGGCATGATACTTTTCACCTCCTTCTTCAATGGGCAGGATCAGTCACTCAGGTATGGTACAGCAGGGCAGGTCCATCTGAAGATGAGTTGCCGGGATGGATTGTTCGTGGCATGTACCAGGGCTGACAGTACGGATCAGGAATCAGTGCAGGGCAGGTTCCAGTTGGCTGTGCCTGTGCTGCTTGGGAGTGTGATGTTCAGTGCACGGGGCAGGTAGGCAAGAAGGAGGGGGTAGATTGTGATGTGTGGAGCTAAGATGGGTATGGGAAAGATGAGAGAGAGGAGAGAGGAACAGGAGCCAAAAACATACAAACAAAAAAGAGCTTACTATTGGAGTGGAGAGATAAGAGACTGAGAAATGGGGAAAAACAGAAATGAAAAAAAAAAAATGAAAAAGGGTAAAAGGAAAAAAATCAATAAATCGAGAAACTGGAAATGAAGAAAGACAAAAAGGGTATAAGAGAGAGAAGAAAACAAAACAAAGAAACAACAACAACAACAAAAAAAAAACAAAACCAAAAAGAGAAAA